GATGGCTCACCAGGTGAAGAAGGGGTGGTAAGTCTCCCTGCTCCATCACTGTCACCTCCCTGACTGAGGTCAAGCTTTCATTGTCTCCCACTTGGATTGTAGTAAGAGTCTCCTTGACTCCACTTTTTTGGGCCCCTCAAAATCACTTCCTAAACTGACTCCTGAATTATCTAGTTAAACACAAATTATCTATCCTCTGCTTAAAGCAAAGTGCTAACTCCTTAGTTGGCACACAAGCCTTTTGTCTGGCACACGCAGACTTTCCTAGGGCCAACTCCCGCCATTCTACAGCTGTCTCCTTCTGCCCAGCCCTCTAGAATTGACCACCCATTCCCTCACATCACGTTCTGCTTTGCCACTCTGCCTTTCAGTGGCTCTTCCTTCTGCTTGCATTTCTTTTCCTCCATGTTTACTTGGTGAACTCCTCTTCATCCTTCAAAGCCTTTCTCTGGCATTACATCCTCTATGAAGCTTTAAATGAACTACTCCAAGAGGGAGTTAATAACTTCCTACTTTGCTCTACTTCTGCACTCTGAGAATCTATTATTTTATCTATTCTATTCTATAGCAGATTCCATTGTTATTATTTGCTTAATGAGAATTTCACCTATGATGGTAGCTGTGAGTTTATTCTTTGAAGGCGGGAAATGTGTTTGTATGAATCCCTGGAATGGCACATAGAAGGCTTTTAGTATTGTTTTTTGCATTTGCTATAATTTGGAAAAACCTTGAAAGCATGTAGACTCCGGACATGTTGAGAGGTCTGCAGTTCTATTGGTCTGGCTTGAGCACAAAGGGAGTGAGGAGGTGTGGCTATTAACTAGAAAGGGAGGTGGAGCCTAAGTTGGGAAGGGTTTGAACTCTGAGAAATCATCAAGCAACCACTATTACTTACAGCAGGAAAATGATGTGACTAGTCTTTGGATAATTGGCTAAGACAGGTAAGCTACGGGTGTCAGGGCAGTGGGGAAAACAGGAAGTGGTGAGACCCGAGGAGTTGCTTTTGTGAAAGCCTGGGTAAAGAATGACAGGACCCTGAGGCAGAACAAGAACTAGAACGAAGGCAAAAGAGTCAAGGCTTATCTCTTAGAAAAGTATCTCAAAAATGGGCTTAAACAGCAATCTTATTGTTCTGAAAGCTTATGCTAAGGCCAGCGTATTATTGCTAAAGTTCACTTTAGTAGAGCAGAACTTTGAGAGGCTTGGTCAATGGAGGTGAAGCGCAGGGTTGGGGACAGGTTGGTGAACAAGGTGGGGGTTCTGAGTAATTTAATTTTCTGGTTAATTCGGTTTATCTGAAAAGTCATCCTTTTTGTTTTCATCAGTTTTGAAATTTTTTTCTACAAAGATTTCTTTTCTGCCCTAAGTTACACGATAGGAAGATTATCTTTCATTGCATTGGTAGAAGGAACACCGGATTGTATTGTGGGAGATTTAATTGTAGTTCTAGTTCTGTCATGACTTTGTGAAAGTCACTTAAAACTTCCTGGGCCACGGGAATGTAAAGTGGTGCAACTGCCATGGAAAATAGTCTGGTAGTTCCTCAAAAAGTTAAATATAGAGTTACCATATAACCCAGCAATTCCACATCCAAGAGAACTGAAAACATGTTCTAACAAAAACTTGTACATAAATGCTCATAACAACATTATTCATAAAAGTAAAAAAAAAAAAGTGGAAATAACTCAAAATCCATCAACCGATGAATGAATAAAAATGAATTTTAAAATATGGTATATTCATATAACAAATCTATTCAGCCATAAAAAAATGATACATGCTACAACATAGGTGAACCTTAAAAACATGCTAGGGAAGGAAACCAGAGACAAAGGTCACATATTATAGTATTCCGTTTATATGAAATGTCTAGAATGGGCAAATCTATAGAGATAGAAAGTGGGTAAGTGTTTGACAGGAGCTAGGAAGAGAAAGAAATGAAGAATGACTGCTTAATTGGTCAGGGTTTCTTTTGGGATGATAAAAAGTGTTCTGGAAGTAGATAATAGTGATGGTTGCACATTGTGAATATACTAAAAAACCACTGAACTGTATACTTTAAAATGCTTAAAATGGTAAATTTTACGTTTTGTGAGTCTTATCTCAATTAAAAAAATGAGAGGTTAAACTCAAATGTCTCAAAGATTTCTTAAGCTCTAAGACTCTATGATTTAATTAAACCACTCTAACACACAGTAGAAGCTCAGTAAATACTTGGCGAATTAAACGAGAAGAGACACTGGAGTGTGATTCTTTGGATGAGAGAAAATACTTTCCTACATTTAAAGATATCTGGATCAGATGACATATTCAGGGTCTTAATATTGTGTAACCTGTGGGGCAGAATCACCTTTAAATGAATTCATTTCACCAGTAGTATGCTAGCAAAGATTTAACAGCCACAGGGAAAAAGGAAATATCCAATATATATGTACATAAGTTTATTATAAATTTTACTGATATTAAAGGATGTGTAGCACATAATTTACAAACAATAAAGTATATAATACTGTTTACTGTAAATTCCATAAAGCAAAATGATTCTCATAAAATGCTTTAATTGATTTTTGCTGAACTCTTACATCTGCAGCCAAGTTATAATTGCAGTTGAACCATAAATTAATAAATGAGGTTGCATTCCAGTCTTCTAACACTTTTTCCCAGTAAATTTATCATCATTACTCTGATATGAAATCTATTGTTAAACTATTTTTTACCCTTGTACAGATGACATCCATTAAACTGAAGCCTCTTTCCGTTTTTAGTACTATGTTTGTCAGAACTTCATTTATTTGTCCATGATATTAGCAATTTCTTTGCTGAATTAGATTATAGTTTTTGAATACTGGAAGAATATTTCCTCAGTTTTTGTGTGTGTGCTATTCACAGACCAATGTCTATAGAATGACAACTTTTAAGTTTAATCTACATTATCAACATACTCTCAATCTTTTTTAAAAGTCTAGACAAACAATAAAATAACAAATCAAACCCTGAGGTATGGCATTTTCTAATTTCCACAGTGTAAATACTCCCATCATTGGTAGTTTTCAAGCTATCAATGTAACATCACTGCACATGGCAGTGGGCAGAGAAGCATAGTAGTACCTGCATTATACAATGTTTCTACTGTATTGATACGGTAGACATGAATCACCCAAAGAACACAGATAATAGTAAGATAATTACATAGTGATGAGTTTTGAATACTTATTACCTTTGTTTTTAATAAAATATATTTAATTATAAGTTCATAGGATTTAATTTTTAATAATGGCTGTGCTTAGCAACCAGCTCTTAAAATTCCACAAAATTTAACATTGGTTCTTATGGGCCAGTGAAAGCTGACTTCCATACACCAGTAGATGTTACAGTATTTAGTGGCTTATCAGAACTCTTTTTCTTTAGTTTAAGAGCCCACCAGAAATTGTATAAAGATACCCTCCTAGAGATTTTCACACTCTTCTAATTGTAAATTTTTTAGTTTAGTTCTTAAACTTTGTCCTATAAAATATTTTTTCCTTGAGATTGTAAGAGGCACTCCACATTGAGAAAAATAGGAAGGGAAGGTGTTCTCAACTCAAAGAAGTTTTGAGAAATGTTGTAGGACTTCTCAGGGCCCGTAACACATTAAGTACATGTTTTGAATCTTCCAGAAGAGTGTATAATATTTAGTTATTTATTTAGTTAGCAGGATATAGTTTAGAAAATGCTGCTAAACCATGAATGGGCTTGTGATAACATTGAAGCTTCACCACAGCCATCTTCGTACCTCTCCCCCAGCACTTTCGAGGCCCCCCAGGTCCTTACAGTGGAGGTTAGTACTGCACGCCACGCTATGGTCCTTTGCCCTGCTCTTAAGAATTTAGAGGTCAGCCTGTGTGAATCATATGGTTAATGAATACTTGTGTTACCACATTTATTATCCTCTCAGGATGAAGGCCTGGATCACACAGGTTCCTAGGTTACTGTATCTGCCTGGAGCCTGAAACATTCTTATCTAGAACTCTTCTTCATCTTGTTACTGTAAGGGGAGCATGAGTAGAGATGGTGGTGGAGGAAACTGATTCACACCATCCGGTACCTTCCTAGGCCAGTTTGCTTTCAGGTCCATGCCCTACCCTTTCTCTGCTTTGCTCTGTATCGTGATGGGTGTACGGCGGGTTGCCAAAAACAGAGGGGTGACCACTAACCTGCAAAGGCTCCATTTTCTAGCTCCCCTGTTAGCTGGCTCCCAGCTAGGTTTGGTCCTCGGTGAGAGACTGAAGGAGGCAGGAAGAGGGAAACTCAGGCCTTTGCCCCTACTTCTGCCCTGTGCAGTGTCTCTGGCAGTGGACGCATCTTCTCCACTGTTCTATTCTTGCAGGACCATCCTTTTTTTTTCTTGGTTCCAGTTCTGCCATGTGGTCCCGATCCTTGGATCCAAGAACATGGCTTCCCACCCTTTTCTTTCTGGCCTAGAATTGGTAGACACTTTGTGCTGTTGCTCCTCTCTGGGTGGCCTTATTATCTTTAGTTTGGCTTCTCAGCTCTCTCATTACCTGTACCCCTTTCTTCTAGATGTTTACCTTTACGAGCCAAAGGCTGCTTTCCAGAACACCTGACACACACTGGCCAAGTCTAGTTCTGGCCATTGGCGCATGCTTAGCCTGTGTTCCGAACAAGCTGGAGAATTAATGTTCCCAGAAGCAGCCACAACTCAGAAGAAGTGTAGATAGGTAAATACCCCGAGGCTGTTCTACACTGGCTGCTAAGGTTCAGTGCAGGACTGAGCTCTAGTTCCACACTGGGAATATGGTAATGCACCTTTATATTGGTTTCCTTCCCTTGCCTAGCTCACTACTTCTCTACTTGTAATTTCTGGAATCACCTTTTAGCTAAAGCACTCGCTTTGTCTCTCAGTTTCCTGGGGACCCCAACCAAGAAGCCTGTGTAACCTATTTCCTGCATCGAATTCTCTCTGCTCTAACTACCTGTGTGATTTCTGTTTCCCTGGTTAGGTGCCAACTGATAGGCCTGCGCTTTGACATGAGACCCCTGTCATGCCCACCTTTCTACCCTGCTGGGAAGGAGAAGGACACCTGCCGGGCCACTGTTCCTCAGCCCCAAAAGGTAGGCTGGGGGCAAATTATGTAAATCGAGAACCTAACAGGGGCAGAGAATCACCATTACACTACATATGGCATCATTTAACAACTCAGCAAGGCTGATGGAAAGCATGTGAATCTGGCGTTTGTACTTTTTATTCATTCAGGTACTGTACTATGGTTATTCACCCTTCTTGAAGGCAAATCTTAATGTCGTCTTATTTTTTCTTTCTCAGGATTAAATAGGCCCATTCTAGTTCTCTGATACATGGGGCACCTGTCAAAGCAGGGAGCTGCCCAGAGCCTTGCGGTGTGTTTCTCAGTGCTGAGTTACTCCATGGGTAGGCTACTCATGAGTATGGCACCAGAGTATTGGAGGGGAGTCTATATGTGATATTTCAAAACAAGCACTAAAGTAGCCATCGTGAGGAAGAGAAACGTAGAATTTTGTTGCCCTTCATGATGTTCGTTTTATGGCTTGTGTTGTGTTCCTTTTTCACATCTGTGCATCGTGTTGTATGACTATCAGCCCTGGGTAAGGATGGCTCCTGGACTTGTGTGCAGCAGCAGCCCTGGGAGAAGGAGGCATGAGCCTAATTTTGAAGCTGAGGGTCTCCATAGATTTCAAACAGGGGACATAGAAATCAAGACATTACCAGTGACTGCATGGCAACCTGACTCCTAGGAAGTCAAAGGAAGCAAAGATCTAAAACAAAAAACAAAAAAACAAAAAAACAAAAAAAAAAAACCCAAACACCCAAGGTGTTTGTTTAAAAAGAAGCCCTATGGTCAAAGGGAAGCAGGCTTGGTGAGAAGTACCCAGGAAAATCACCCATGAGGGGTGTCAGCTCTGGGAGAGGCTGAGAAGAGAGGGCCATTGGCTTTCATAGCTCATTGCTGCAGAAGGAAGAGAAAAATAACATGATTAGCATGTCTCTCTACTTTCCTCGATTAAAATGACAGAAGCAGGCAATCTGCTGTTTGTGCAGAAAGGCCACTGGGAAGGAGGGAAGAGAGCATCTGTTCTGAGAAACTGCTGTTGAAAAATGCAAGAAGTACACAAAGCAAAGGAGGAACTCTCCACAGTGCAGGCCACTGGCTCGGAAAACAGGGAGAACTGGAGAGGCGCCCGCTGGAAAAGCCTCAGGTTGCCCTGGTCCGGTCTGCAGTGGGGCTCTGCGGTCCTAGGATCCCACAGAGGGCGGGCCGGCGTGTCTTTCTTGCAGAGCTGTGGCTCTTGGCGGTGGTCCCTGGCTCCGAATGCCTTTCGTAAGGAGGGAAGTGCCATCCCATCCCCATCTTTGTGGCCAGTATCCTCACCCTCACTGACCAGTGCTCTTCATTTTTAGAATGAGTTACCATGCCTGCCCTCACACCTCCTCCCCCATTCTCTGTCCACGGGGTGATGGTAACTCTTTTTGTTGGAATATAAGGCAAGCCAGTGTCTCCAATGGGATGAGATCACTCTGAACTCCCCAAGTTTGAAAGGCCTGCATGTATTTAGAAGAATTAGGGACCTCAATCAAAGATGCCAGCAAAAGCGCTTGCCCCTGAGCCAAACTATCTGAGGCCCGAGAGTTACACTTGGCCTCCAAACCCTCCCTCTCTAGGAGAAAGCAGTCAGGTGAAAAGCAAAGTACCCTCAACAGGCACCTCGGGATGCCTTTGATATTCAGATTAACCACCTGGAAGGCTGTTGGTCAGAGGGATGTAGTGTGAGTCTTGTAGGTATCTTTCCAGTGATGTGAATATTCTACCCCTGTTAATTTGTAGACCACAAGATTGTAAGGTGTGTGGACAGCAGCCACCTGTGCATTCTTGTGTGATTAGCTTAATGCTATTCTCATAGTAGATACTTGATCAATATTTAAATTTGTGAGTAATTGGCCCTCAGGTCTTGCCTTCACTCTCAGTTACATTAAACCAGCCTTGTAAATAACCAAAAATTGAACAATCTTCTTTCCCGAGTCCCAGGGGCTTTTTCCCTTGCTACTCACCTGGTATGAGGGATCACTTTCAAACCTAGTTTCTCACAGTAAAATGGGAGTAATAACAGAGGCTTTTTACAATGATTTAATGAAGTCAGGCATATGAAATGGCACAGAATCTAATGATTGCTGTTATTATTATTAATATATAGTTATTTCCTAGATGAAGCATATTTTCTCTAGGAATCCTGTGAGCAAGATGGGAGCTCTCTGGCTCTCCCCTTTTAAAGAAAAGAGGGCACTCTACAAATGTGGCTGATGCAAAAGGGACCCGGTGGTATTCACACTGATATTCCATCGGCTCCTGGCAGCGCTTTCTCAGTGATGAAGCACTTGCATTCCATGCCTATCTGCAAATCCAGTGGTATCCACAGACACATACCTTGCCTTCTCTGGCCTAACGTTGACAATTCCTTGAGAGAACTGCCTGCAGCCCTGCCTTGGGTTGGAATGGGTACTGCCATTTGCTCTGGGCTTGCTTTTACATCGAGATGACTTTTCGAGTTCCAGGCTGGGGAGATTATTAGCAGAGGCAAAGGGAAGATTCATCGGTATATCTGTGCTCTGTGAAGCCACAAAACCCACATCCAGCTCCCAGCTTCATCTCATCTGCAAGTTCAAGAGGCGAGAAGTCAGCCAGGATGACTTTGGTCCTGTGACCCACCTTTGCTGAATTACATTACCACTAATGTTCCATTCTAGCCTTTTAATATCAAGGGCTAATGAAATAACTGTCATCTGAAGAATGTTTATGAGTCTTCTGTAAAACCCTCACAGAACACATTATTGTTATTGACAGTATTGATATCCTTCGTCCCAGCTCTAGTAACAATATCTGACATTCGTAATGTGTTCGGCAGAGTAAGTCACGTTACAGATGAATAAATGAGGTGAGAGAGCTGAATAAATGGTGTGAGGCTGAGCTGAGCCTCAGGCCCAGGCGTTCCAGGTGTTCGAGCTCTATATCCTCCTGTCCCTTTGGACCACACTGGCCAGTATGCTGTTCTGTTTAGAGAGTCCTTTAAGAATTAGGACCAGGAAAAAGCCTTAATTACCTGTGTCCTTGTGTCAGATAATCTTTTCCTTTGGCTTTGGGCTGCCAAGGAGTTCAGAAGCCAGTGTAAAGATCAACGACAACCATATCAATCTAAGCTTTTGGAATTAAAACTTCCCCATACCTTTCTATTTCTTTTGATTTTTCATTTCTATTTTAATGGTCTGATTGTGTGTGCCCTTTATTTTATGCTATTCTATCCTTTTGTAAAATAAATTTTACAAAATATTTTTGTAAAAATTTATGAACGACAAATCAATCAGCCACTACAGGTTTATCCAATAGGAAAAAGGACCTCAGGACTTTTATGTTTAGTTGCTCTGCTCTCTGTTCAGATCTGTCCAGAGTGGGGTTGCCAGATAAAATACAGGACACCCAGTTAAGTTTGAATTTTGTATAAATAATGAATAATTTTTTTATAAATACGTCTCGAATATTGCATACTAATTTTTTATACTAAAAATTATTCATTGTTCATCTGAAATTCAAATTTAACTGGACGTCCTATATTTTATCTGTTAAATCTGGCAACCCTAATTCAGAGTGCCAAAGATCCTACATATGTAACTTGCTTTTGCACCTCTGCATAAAATAGCTAAGGATAAAGGTCCAAAATTAAAATAAGTTTGTAATAATAGTTAAAAATCCTAAAGATGAGCTGGACACAATTAAAATCAAATTTTGAACAACTGGACTTAGAAACATTTAGGTTCACTGGCCAGAAGTTCATTGTCCATGCCCGGAGGCGGCATACTCTCCTGAGGCTGGATCTGACTTCGGCTGGGAACCCTTGAAGGCCACATGGACCTGCCTATGATTTCCCAGGAGTTGTCGAGCAGCACTTGACTGGACTGGACTGGACTGGCCTCTCCACGATATACCAATACAAGTTTTGGCTAGTTTTCCCAACCTTTGCTGGGAATTTTTAAATCGCAAATTTAACTCCTTCCTCCATGTAAAAGAAGCCAAATTTTTTCTCTGCCCCAAGCAAAAAATGTTAGCCTGTTACCTCTGGGATCCCTGGGTTTATGTTATAGGAGCTCCCAGAGTTCTCTCATGTCTCCTCTCTGCTCCCCTCATCGTGGTCTGCAGCCCTCATTCACATGAGGGGTGCCTGGCTGCTGTGACATGCTAAGTGAGCAAAGTGGGCAAGGCTGCTGGCTCCCTCTGCCACTGGGCCCCCAAGCCTGAGACTCCATGAGACAACGGTATAGTTCCCATTTCCTCTGGCCTCACCACCCTGCTGTGCTCCAGGGGAAATGGAGAGGATCATCTTTCCTGAACTCTGTCCCACAGCTAACATGTGGCCTTGTTTGGACCTCAGGACAGCAGCAACTTCTGCCTTTTCCTGGAGTCCTCTCCACAGGGCTTAAATGACCTATCCCTTGGGGCCTGGCAGGGGACAGATACTTCGTGTCTATTTTCTTTCTTCTAGAGAGAGCAGTGCTCAAAGGTTCATCTCTATAACAATAAAAGCCCTCATGCAAATCAGCTATGATATGGACTGGTCTTGAAGCTTTTCTAACAGTTTGATAGATAAGCATAAAGTTAACTGAAGTTCAGTGGGGAGCAGGCCCGAAAGCTCACACCGTGATCCTCTTGGCACAAACCATGTCTGACAAGGGGACACAAGATGACCTTTGAGAGGTTGTGGTTAAATCCTAATCTGTTTAAATCTGTGTTTCAAGGACATTGGTACAAAAGGACATTAGACTGCCCGTCAGACACTATTTACCGTTCCACTTGATGCTGCTCTTTTGGGAACATGAAGTCCCAGATTTTTCAAGTTTCCCCCAACTATGCCGTCAGCCAACAATCAAAACTGCTGAAGGAGTAATCCTGTATCCAGGGACAAAGTGTCCGCTGAATAAGAGTGTGTGCTCCCCACTGAAGACAAAGATAATCAGTGGCTAACATCAGGCCTTTACAGGGCACCCTCCAGTGGTCTGTCTTTATCCTCCTGTGCTCTTCTGTCTCCTCTCG